CGCACATTTGAATACCTTCTCATCTTTACGAAGGTGTGGTGTGCACAATTGGACAGACCATTTCAATCAAGACACGACCATTGCTCTCTACAAATTCAGCATAACTTCATTGCTTTTAGAGTTAATACTCATATTAGTAAAGACTAAGATGCAATATGCTTTAGTAATTCCACCTACAGCGCATGAACTGCTGCAGTTCAAGAAGGCAGCTCATCACCACCTTCTCAAAGCAAACTAGGGACGCGCATTAAATGCTGGCTGGCCAGTGACGCACACGACCCAGGAATGAATGAAAATAAAAATCACACTCTCAACCTGTACAGTGAACTTCAAAGATCTGTGCTCAGAGATTTGTCTGCTCCTGCACCATCTTTAAAATTGTACCATATGTTTTATGCTGTCTCTCTGCATTCTTACTTCCAAGATGAATCACTCCATATTGATTATCATCTGGCATTGTCAACTCAGTTCCACAAATCCCATTTAGTGCTTTTTGTCACAACAAACTTGGCAAAATACACAGATACTCGAGGCCCACGAAATTTCCCAATTCACCTGTCTGATAAATTTAGATTAACAGAAAACACTGATCAGGTTTGCATACTTAACATGTGCTACTATTTATTTCAAATAAATCAATTCCAATCAAAGGCAAACAAAATTATGAAGTATCAAAGTACAACTCTACCAGATGAAAGTCTAACCCCTTTTTAAACCCCTATGCACACATCCAGGCTGACAGTGAAACAAAAATACATGAATATTATGGATGGAAGGAAATATATTGGGGAAACAGTTCAATACCAACAGTTCACAGGGTTTGATAAGGTGTTGCTTTTAATTCCTCTGCTCTGATCTTCATTCTTCATATCCAAGACCTTGCAGTTCTTTGCTGGCTACACATGGAAGGGTTCAGTTTCTCAATAACTAGTTAAAGTGTGACAATGCTGTCACTTTAAATACGTTATTTTATATTTGTTTTTTTTTTGAAGAGAGGTTGTAAAGGCAGAGGTGTAAAAGAGTCCAGGGAGAAACAGTTTAACAATAGAAGGCGTATGGCCAGTTCTCCCAGTTCAGGTTTTTTCTAGTTTTTTTTTAAAGCTGTAGCAGTCACAAGATGTTGTGAGTACCAGAAGTGTTGCAAGCTTCAGCAAAGGATTCCTCTGACTTTCTCTGAAATGTCGCTCTTGTTCCTCCCTGCCTGTAAGAATCTGTGTTTGAATTTACCTTTTTGCCAAGGGGTGTGTTTATGGTATGTTACTAAATTGGAACAGTTAATTAGTTAAGTTGCTGTATCGGGTCGGCTAGGTTTTCCAATAGTTAAGTTACTCTAAATTCTGCTTTCTTTTGATCATGTTTCAACTATAGCATTTAAGTAAGTTTTGCTATGCTTAAAGCATTGGTTTGATCAGTTGCATCACACCTGGAACACCCACTTCACATCTGCCTTTAAAATAAGAAAAAGGCAAGGTCTAGGCTACCTTCTTAAAATATTTTAAGGGGATCTGGCCTGATCCATAACAGAGTCAACAACTTATAGCAAATAATAGAAGTGAATAGCTAGCTATCTTTCAGGTTTTGGTGACTTCTCTACAGAGAGAAATGACAGATGATGCCTCGAGGACTTTGGCCACTGTATTATTAATGGACCACCTGTCTACTTGTGCAGAAACCAGAGTGTTGTCATGCTGGTGACTTGTTACGCACATAGAAAAATAAAATTAGCAGTCTTTCACTGCTCTGAGCACACATCAATGGTGCCATGGGATCTCAAACATCTTCCCCCAGTGCTTGAACAAAGCAACAGTACAAAGAAAACTCACAATGAGTTCCAGTAAAAGCCGAAAGAAACAAAAGCTATAATTGCTGGAAAAGCTCAGCAGGTCTGGCAGCATCTGTGAAGAGAAATCACAGCTAACATTTGGGGTCCGGTGACCCATCCTCAGAACTCCAGTGACTTGTTTTACACTGTACAACAATTCCTTCCATAGTCCATAGTTTACAGCAATATCCTTTTCCCATTTTGGCCCACAATGCAAACAAAGACAAAATTTAAAATGTGGCTTTTCGATTTTTAAGTTCTACACTATCATCCTTATAGTTTATAACGCTTCCAAATTTTATATAATTCACATATTTTCAAATAGTGTTCACTACACCAAGGTCTAGATCATGAACATAAGGCATGATAAGCAAACTTTCCAACAGCAACCGCATGAGAATGCCACAAAAAATCTTCCCCCAATCTGAAAAATACCTATTCTGTTTCCATTCACTCAGTATTTTGTATTCATGTTGTTATCATTCCTTTTCTTCAATAACCTATTACTTTACTCACAAGTCTCTGCGTAACACTATCGAATTCTTTCTCAAAATCCATTTAGGCCACATAACAGAATGTTGATAAGGGTAATGCTATTTACCTTATTAAAAAATTCCAGCAAATTAGTTAAATGTAATTTTCCTTGACAAATCCAAGATTTGTCCAAGTGAATAATCATTTTACACAAAATTATTATTTCTGGAAGCTTCATCAACAGAAACAATGAGCCTGTCATTGCTAGGCCTATCTTTACACCCTTTTTGATCAAGGCTGTTAACAGATGACATTCTCCAATCCTCTAGCACCATCCAAGAATATAAGTACAACTAATAAATTATGGCCAATTTCTCTGAACTTACCATTCTCATGCTGATCAGTATCATCAGATCATCCTATCTGATCCTAGTATCCCATCAACTTTTAAGCACACAGCCTATCCAAAACCTGCCATTTATTGATTTTAAATCCTTCAAATGTTTGAATTATCTTGTCTTTCGCCAGTACCTGATTAGCATCTTGTTCCTCAGTAAAGAGAGAGGCAAAACATTCATTTAACATCACAGCCATGTACCTTACTTCCATACACATATTCTTTCTAATCCCATAATTGGCGTCACCCCTTCTTTTACCACCGTTTTACTATTTATATGCCCATACAAGAGTTGAGAGTTCCCTTCTCTGTCAGCTGCTAGTTTCTTTTCATGCTTCCTCTTTGCTTTTCTACCTTCTCTGAACCTTCTTTATTCAGCTGGTTTTCAGTCATATTGTCCATTTGAAATCTATCATAAGTACACTTTTCTTTCTTCTTTGTCACCTCTCTTTTTATCATACAAGGAGTTCTGGATTTGTTTACCTTACCTTTCATTTTTGTGTGAATATACCTTGTCAATGCCCAAACACACATTTCTCTAAAGATAAGAGATAGTATCTTTCTCTAAAGATATCCCATTATTCAGATAGTGTTTTGCTTGCTAAATCTTTCATTTCAATTGATCTAGGCCAGATCCATTCTCACCCCATTGAAGTTGAAATTCTTGCCCCACTCTGCTTTCTGCGCTACTCTTTTCACAGTCTATATTCATGTACCTAAAGCCTTTCATTTTAATAATTCCATAAATCCTGCACCTCTAAGTTCCTTGCAAACTCATTCGTCTATATCCGAAAATAAAACAAAGCCTCTAGGGTCACTAGACACAAAACATTAATCTGCTTTCCCTCCGCACTTGTTGCCAAACCTGCTGAGTTTCTCTAGCAATTTCTGCTTTTGTTCCTTGACATCTTTCCCACTGGATGTTGGCCTACTGCCTCCACTGAGCAATATAATTGTAAATTACTTCTAGCCAAATCTACTTTGTCCTTGATCATTCCAAAACATCTTCTCTCACCAGCACTACAATGTCTCCATAATCAATATTTCTCACTCCTCCCCTTTTCCTTCTTTTTTCTTGCATTCAGGAATATTTAAAGTCCTTCTTTGAGTTAGGTCTCTTGTGATAGCTACATCATCATCTCATCACATAGCAATCAGCACTTGTAACATTATTTAGCACAGTTCAGATATTCATGTACATGTACTATAGTCTTAGTTTACAGTTTACTACTTTCTTCCAAACTCTGAACCCATCAAAATTACTACTTCCTCAGTTCACTGCTATCTAACAGGGAGCTATTCACAACTCTAGTGTGTCTTGTATTCTAATTTTAAGGATTTTATTCCTCTTTTCTACATCCATATACTGGTGACCAGCCCCTTCAGAGTTTAGTTTAAAGAATCCACAACCATATTAAGGAATACCCCATGAGGTCAGAGTTGACGCGACACCAGGCTATAGTCCAACAGGTTTATATGAAATCACAAGCTTTTGGAGCACTGCGCCTTTGTCAGATGAAATAAATTCACCTGTCAAAGGAGCAGTGCTCCAAAAGCATGTGATTTCAAATAAACCTGTTGGACTATCACCTGGTGTCGCGTCAATTCTGACCTCATGGGGTATTCCTTAATATGGTTGTGGATCCTTTATACCTCCTTTTGTCAAAGTCAGGGAACAATATATGAAATGCTGAGGCCCCAGCACTGATTTGTGATACACCACTTATTTCATTTTGGCAGCCTGAAAAAGATCCATTTATACCTAGATATTTTCTAAATCAACCTGTTCAGAGATGTTATTACATACTTCTGGAGCAGGTGAAACTTGAACCCACGTATCCTGTCCCAGAGGTAGGGAAACTACCAGTGCACCACAGGAGCACTTCTATTTATTCCTATTATTGTGTTTCCTATTAACTAGCTAAACATCTATTTGTGCCACTATGTAACCCCCTAAACCATGATATTTTATTTTCTGCAATAATCTTGGAGCGCAGCGAATGCCTTCTGGAAATGTAAGTACAATTCATCCACTGGTCCCACTGTATCCACAGTGCATGTTAATTCTTCAAAAATCTCCAATAAGTTGGTTGAACATGATTGCTCTTTCATAAGACAGTGTTGACTCTATAAACACATTCAAAGTTAAGATTAAAAACAGCTTGTAGATTATTTCCTCAAGCAAACCTGCTCCATCAAAAGTGAAAAAAAAAAATCCTGGATAAAGAAACCCTTCTTTCAAGCTACAGCATTTCAAGTATGAAAAATTCATTCCAAACTTCAGACTTTACTGTTGAGTAACTTTACCTCTGTCTGCAGAATGGCAGCTCTCTGTTCCTTTGCTGTAAGCGACTCTTTGAGCACTTCCACATGTTGTTGGCTATCTGAAAATTGGTTTGTCAGCATTTCAAGTTTTGTCTGCAAGGCAAGGAGGTCCGTTTCCTTTCTGGAAAGCTCCTGTTTCACTTGATCAATCTAGCGAACATAAAGCACTGATTCAATATAAAAACTGCAAGGTAAGTTGCCGACATTATTTTCAAGCTACTTTAACCTATTGCGAAAGATGCTAAACTATCAAACTGAAGCACAAACATAGATAAATTTTTGATCAGTTACATTTTTCGTCTTCAAAAGATAAACATATTTGTAACTTTTCCATGAAATCTGGAGCTCATCTGATTTTAGGAAAAATTTGAAAAATGATCAATACTGTATTTAATTTCAAAAAGCAAATAGTTTTGCCACTATTGGGAGAAATAAATATTACAGGTGATCAATCCCACTGCTAAACTACCCTTCGGAGGGATCAAAATGCAATACAAAGTAACAGATGACCAAATATGTACTTGTGTTAACAATGCAAAGTATAGCAAATCCATCAACAACCAGGAGTTGTTTCATCTTCGGTCAGCATGGTAAGAGGTCTTCTTGGCTCTCAAGTGACTCAATAATTGTCTAGGTACATATCAATAACAATCTTTTATTTAGAAACTAAGACTACATACTGTCAGGGATCTACAAAAGCTTAGACTGTCTCTTCCATGAGATCTCTCTCTCCATCATATGATGATATATCATAAGCCCTACAGCTCATGCGATTAAACCATTACTCCACAGCAGGGGCCTTAAATGATAGCCGACATCTGTAAATTCTATCAAAGCATTCCAAGATGCTTTATTTTGCACACTGGCATCTAAAATATAGAAACAGGTGACTCGCCCCAATCTTCACCAATGAGGATTCTCTCAACTCTCATCAAACTCTGTCAGCATACCCTTCTTTTATTCTCTCTTTCACACGTTTAACTAGCTTCACCTCAAAAGAATCAGACCATCAGAAACACTTAAAAGGTGTGCATGAATCCAAATTAAAATATTTCAAAAAATTAAAACATCAAATTCCTTCTTAAGACTATGTCTGAGCATCATTCTGTAATAATATATGAAAGGCTGTTAAGTGCACGATACTAGCCAACAGACCAGCATTCATTCTTGTAAAATCTCAGTGCAGAAAATAAACTTCCAATGGTCATGGACCAATGTTCTTGCCAAGCTGCACAGCAATCCAAAAGTCCTCACTCAGGCCGTGCAAAAAAAATTCAAGGAGCCACACACTAAAACAAATTGCCCTTCCAATCCAAATAAAAGTAGACAAAATGCCCGTTTAGATAACTGACATCATATAAGCTTTATAAAACATATATATTTAATTGTTTCAACTTGAATAAATTGGGTCACAGAATGATAATAAGATCATAAGACCAAAAGAAAGAACAATAGTGGACCATTTAGCACCTCAAACCTGCTCTACCATTCATTAGGATCAGATCAGACTCTTCTCACGTTTACTTTCCTGTCCTATTTCCGTAATCCTCGATTCACTTGATCAAGAGTATGTTTATCTCTGCCTTAAATATACACAATAACTGTACTCTCACAGCTCTCTATTCTAACAAGTTCCCCAAAGATTCTCAACCCTGAGAGAAGAAATTCCTCCTCATCTCAGTCTTAAATTCTATTTTATTTATATAATTTATAAAATTTATAAATTTTATTCTGAGACTATGCTGCTAGCCCTAGACTCTCCCTGTCAAGCCCCTTAAGAATCCTATATGCAACGAGATCACCTCTGATTCTTCTAATTTCCAGTGAGTTGAGTCCCAACCTGTTTAACCTTTGACTGTAGAACAACCCCTTCATACCAGGAATCATCCTAGTTAACTTTATCTGTTCTGCCCCCAATGAAATGATATCTTTCCTTAAATAGGAGGAGCAAAACGGCTCACAATACTGCAGATCTAGTCTAATAAGCAACTTGTACAAGTGCAGCAAGCCATCTCTACTCTTTCTACTCCAACCCCTTTGAAATAAGGGCCAACATTCCATAAGCATTCCTGATTACCTAATGCATCTGTGCTAGTTTTCTGTGTTTTATGCACAAGCACTCCCTTAGTGTTACAGCTTTCTGTGGTTAAATAATACTGTTCTTTCATTCTCCCTTCCAAAATGAATAAATTCACATTTTCCCAAGTTATACTCCATTTGCCAACTTTTGCCCAATGACTTAACCAATCAATATCTCTCCGTAAACTGTTTGTATCCCTCTCACAACATGCCTTTCCACCTATATCAATACACACTAAAGTTTGAACACACCATCATGCAGGTCCATGCAATTTTTCAACCGAAGTGACAAATCAATCAGTATTAGCGAAGTTAATATAGATATGGTGTCATCACAAAAGTGACTAACAGTATGAAAAAACAATTCTTTGAACAATATTGTGTTCAAGTGGACAAAGGAATTCTACTGAGGCATTAGACACCTAATTACAAAATATATTATTCCACAATAATTAAAAAGAAACTGCACAATAGATGCGTTCTTTGTGCACCTTTCCAGTTATTAATTTGTTTTAATACAGATGCTTTTTAACTGAACAAGATTTTCCTTAAAATCCCCGACCAATAAGCTCTGCACTAAGTGAATGAGTTTATAGAATGGTCATACAGACCGGGTCAAAATCAGTTTTGAATTCCAGTCTATGTTGTATTATTTGTGGGTGACAGTGAGAGTAACGCAAATGAGTTCTGGATTAGGGAGGAGGAGAAAGAAAACAAATTTTATCAGTCCTTATCAATATACAGAGGTCCCTTCTGAAAAGATCAGCATTATCAGCTAAGGACAAATGAAGCTCAGCTGGAATGTATCTGCAGTAAAGCAGCCTATCAATGCTTATTGTAAAGCCTTGACCACTAATGAAGTCCTATTGGGCACAGCAACACAATGGAACCCTTTTTCGAAATAGTCAGAGCACAGGAGAAAACTGGCAAGAGAAAAATCAATGTTACTATTGAATTAATTAAGTACATGTAGAAATAAATGTTTTCCAGGATAGTTCAGGTTATTTATTATTACAATTATTTCTTCAAACCCTGACTTAAATTACAAAGCGTAAAATTGACATTTCAAAGGAAGTGCTTCAGTTTTTGAACAGATTGGATTTGGGAGTCTAATACATATAAATTATAAAAGAGACTAGTACAGATTCAGGACATGTGCTACTGTGATGAAGTTGACAGATTTATTTTTTCAATCATGCCTTTAGTCTAGAACTCTATCATTGCAGGAGGTCCATCAAGCGCAACAACAGACAGCTAGCATCAGTATGACGCACAAGTGTGTTCTAAATAACTACACACTAAAATATTCTCTTTCACTTCACAACATTTTACAAACTGTCCAGCCTACTAGCATCTAATGCATCACTTAAACAAGTTGCATTAATATATTAGTGTCAATGTCAGTTAAAACCATTCTTAGTCAACCTGTTCAGATGTAACACACCTCTGTGGGCAGAGGAGACTTGAATCTGGACCTTCTGGTCTCGAGGCAGAGACATTAATGCTGCACCACAAGACTCTATGAGCACTTTTGAATGCTTATTATGATCACTATTTCAATTTTGGCTATCAATGCAATTAATGATCAAAGGGAAAATGCTTGGTCTATTTAACATCCATAAATAACACTTTAATTTAATAGAAGGGTGTCTTTATGGGATGTTACTGTCACAATTTCAGTGAGGAACATAGCCAAGTGAAAGAGATTGTACATCAAGCCTGAAAGACGGAAGAAGCAACATAAAATTATTTTACAAACAATAAGCTGAAAGGAGAGGAAAGGATTAGTCTAGAACCCAGCACGCTGGAAGGAAATAAAAGCAAATTGCATTCATAATGTCAGATGCATGGCAAACATCAACTCTTACAGCAGAGACCTCGAACTGGAGAACAGTCACTTTCTTTCTTAGCTCTTCAGCCTGGAATTCTTTGGAATTTAACTCTTCTTTCAGTTGTTCTACCTGTCAGAACATTGTTACCATTATTGGTCATTAAACATTACTTATATCCTGCAGAGCCCAAAATTTTCATATCAGCTCTGTTAAAGCCAAATGGATTCTGCATAGAAATATAAAATCCAAATAATTCATTAAAAAAGTCTTAACTTAGCAAAGAAAAGCTAGCATTGCAACAAAAACAGAATGAGTATGAATCCAAGTATCTGAGGTTTTGATCTCTCACAATCCATTTACTGTGCTGCTTGTGACCAGCATCAAATATGAGATGCCAAAAAGGTTCATGAAATTGAAAATCACTATCCATCTTAATCCAAAGTAAAACATAAAAGAAAACAATTCTGAATTTGAATTTCCTTCACAGAAAATGATGCTTACAAAAGTTATTACTGTAATAATTGACAGGACTTGTATATATGTTGCATCTGAAGCTGTGACTGACTGACAGTTTACTGCAAGTTCTCTGTAGTTTGTTTACCACTCAAGCATAAATACAAACCACAAGGGGCTCCAAAAGTATAAAACTTGTCATATGACAGAGAAGTTTGCACTATTTTAACAGAATTAGCATTTGCAGATTACAACCACTTATGAACAATGACAAACAGAAGCCTCACCCCATTATTAATGGTGTAAGCACTGCTTTTTTTTATTTAACGTATTTTCTAATCAATCTAATCTGTTCAGAGATATTATTGCACACCTGTGGAACAAATAGGACTTGAACCCGGGCCTCCCAATCCAGGGCTGAGGGACACTACCAGTGTGCCATAAGAGGGGCCCTGGGGTGAGCAATGAATGTGTCAAAGACCATGGGTTACAGCCTCATTTTAAACTTGTGCTTCATTAACCAGTCTCAGCCAGGTGAGCAGAAGTCCTACAATTAGCCTCCATATGCTTGACCTCATGATTAGAAATCAATATTCACCCCATGTTCTCTCTACTGATCACTATCCAGTGAGCTCGGGTGAAACTTACGTATGCATAGTCATTAAAGACAATATCAGAGTTGCCTATAATTTGCTCTTGTTGTCTAGCATTACAGCCTAGGCAAGCTTACACAAGAGCAATGAATACCTGGAGGTTTGAGCATTATGATCGCATAAGCATCACAATTATTATCATTATGAGCATTATGACAGCCAGAGACTTTTTCCTTGGGTGGAGGTAGCTAATATGTGGGGGCATAGTTTTAAAGTGAGTGGAGGTAGATACAGGGGAGACGTCAAAGGTAGGTTCTTTACTCAGAGAGTGGTCGGGGCGTGGAATGCATTGCCGGAGCGGGTAATGGAGTCGGCCTCATGAGGGGCATTTAAGCGGCTATTAGATAGGCATATGGATGATAGTATAAGGAAGGGCGGAAGTTAGATAGACCTTAGGATTAGGGTAAAAGTTCGGCACAACATCGTAGGCCAAAGGGCCTGTACTGTGCTGTACTGTTCTGTGTTCTATGTTCTATGATCTCACAAACCGGAGTACTGCTCCGAGAGGGTGAAAAAGTGGATGGATCGTATTAAGCAGAAGTTTTACATTCGAGACCATAGCTAAAGCAGTACTCTGTGCAGTGAAATGCTGATTAACCATGCTCCTTTAAGTCAATTAATCAAATGACTAAAAAATTTAATATTTGTTTACTCAAATAATTGTTAGATCCTTCACAAAATGGCTGCAAAAACAATGTTTCTTCTATTCAAGGCAACTAGTCATGATAACTACCAAGCTCCTTCAACAGCAGCACTGCCACTTGATCAACATCCTAAAGCTCCCAAATAACAGCATTACAGAAATTCCTTCATCACATGAACTATAGCGTTTCAAAAGAGTAAAACTTAGCACCACCAAGGGCAACTAGGGATATAATTAGATGTCATTTAGCATGACAATTTCAAACAATGGCAATGTATAAGGCTTGGTAAGGAAGCAATTTCGCAGGAGCATTGAGTCATCAAGTCATACAGCATGGAAACAGACCCTTCAGTCCAACTCGTCCACACTGACCACTGACCATGTTCCCAAACTAAACTAGTCCTACCTGCCTCCGTTTGGCCTATATCCCTCCAAATCTTTCCTATTCATGTACTTATCCAAAAGTCTTTTAAATGTTGTAACTCTATCTGCATCCACCACTCCCCCTGGCAGTTCATTCCACATACTAACCACTGTGTAAAAAAGTCACCCCTTATTCCCTTTTTAAATGCCCCCTAGTTTTGAACTCCCCAACCTTAGGGAAAAGACCTTTGCTACGCCCCTCAAGATTTTATAAACCTCTACAAGGTCAACCCTCAACCTCCTATACGACGGTGGAAAAATGGGCCCACCTTACCTTTCACCATGAAAATGGCTTTCAGCCTCATTCATATTGGTCTTCTGCTGATTAGTTTTTAAAAAAGAGCCTCCCATCAATTTAAAAATGGCATTTGTGTCATACTTTGGAAGATTCTGTGTTGCATTATGACATATGATGTTAGGAGGTCATAGGTTCAACAACATGGTCCCTATTTAATATTCGTCGATCTTGGACTAAAATTCTCATGGATATTTCATTAAACATTTTTTTTTTGCAAAGAGATTTTAATTACACAGAAGAATATTCTCCATCTGAGTCGCAAAGATCTCATTCTGACCTGCACAATAGTTACACACTTACTCCACAATGAAGACACAAAATTATTGAGAAGACACTTTTCTTCTGCTTTTGAGCTTCTGAACTACCTTGTTAAGGTGGGTATTACATGTGCAATCTGAAGTTACTGTTAGATTTGCTGGTTTTCAATCATGCATTAGCAGATCCCTATCAAAGAAATGGTGAACTCTCACAAAACGCTTCTTGGATCATATTGGAAGCGTGACTTTTTTTTAACAACAGACATTTACAGTTGCCGTTTCTTTATTCAATTTGCTGTCCATCTTTCTGAACTCTCTCAAAATTAGACTGAAGCTGTCAGTTTACTTGAATGTGCTAAAAATTGCTGAATGCAAACTATTGTAATGATAATGAAACAAGGTGGAGCAAAAAAGTAATGATTCTTCCGGATCTTTTCTCAGCTCATTTAATAACCCAGCTTTTTCTCCAATTGTCTGCATTGAAACAATCTCCATAACCATAACAATCCAAGCTGAAATCATAACTTGACAAAGCGGCAAATGTGGCAAATGCTGTCATCAAGTAGTCTAGCTATTTCTGTTTCAAGTAAATTTCTACATACGTAACAAAAAAAAACTTAGTCAGTGCTCCAATTTTGTCTAATACTTGCCTCATAACCATTTATGGTATGTTCTACTGTGGGCATAACTTCTTGCAGAATTAGCTACACCAAAAACGTACAGACATCACTCAAAAACAATTGTGAAAGGTGGCTAGCTGGGAGACTGGTTCTTCCCATTTTTTAGCATGGCTGTCACCTCACGTCCTGCCTTAAGAAATTATGCTTGCTTGGATGACAAAAATTAAACAGAAATCAAAATAGATACATTAAATAAAAAAGAAAATGAGGCAAGGACTAGCTGATCGTGCACAAGTGTTTTGGTGAAAAATCAAATGAAAATGATCAATGATCGAACAGTGAACGGTCAATGAGCCAAATGGCCTAAATTCTGCTCCTATAATCCAACAGTCTGACAGAGAAACATTATAATGCTAGGTTCCTCTCTCCACGGCTGATCCCTAACATACTGATTCCTGGCTTTTTTTTCCTGTTTTCACAAATAAACATTGACAGCTGTTTCAAAATCTCAAAATTTCAAAGTCCTAAGCTTTTCCAGTTTTCATGAGACTCTATGTCTTTTTCATTTCTTCAACTGAAAATAGCTTAAAGATGTCCTCCTCACTCAAGGTAAGATCAGTGTGAATCTGCATCACTTTCACTTTACCAATTCTTCAGTGCTTAAATGTATACCAATACTATTCCAGCAGATTTTATACTGTAGAAGGAAGAGGTGGTTACTATACTGTTGCAAGCTAATGAATGATTACACTTTTATTCTATAGGAGATTCTTCATGCTATTGCAGAAGCTCTGTATACAATCTATTAAACAGAGCATAAAAGTCTTTTGATAGCCGCAAGATACATCTACTATTTTGAAAATTGCTTTGGAAATGTGAATGCAACAATTATCCATGTAAGTGTATGTGTATTCATTATATGCTAGTCAGTCAGTACTTTTCTAGTCTGCTTTTCTGTAATTGCACTGCAATTGTAAATTTGTAGCTTCCACGGTAATTCCTCACTTAACTTTGTGTTCCTTAAAAATGCAACTTTAAGTGAAACAACATTAAATGAAACTTATTTTCCCACAAGAAAAAGGAGTTCAGATCGATAGCAAGCCTCTGCCTCTCAATCTTCAGCAGATCCGTCTTCTCCCACACCATCTGATCCCTATCTATTCTCTTCCTGAGCCCCAGTTCTTTATTACCCGGATATCATTTGAAGTAAGGTGCAGAGTTAATGGGTGTGAGATAAGAAGAAAAATGATCTGGGAATCTCCCAAGCCACACGGACAAAGCTCTTGACAGCGCTGTTCCACTGCACTGCAAACAGTGATTATGACATAAAAATGAAAACCATGACATTAATCAGAGAAGCAGACCCCAAAGAATAAATAACTTTAAATCAAAACAATGTATTGCAGGGAGATTTAAAAGAGGACTTAGTGCACATGGTCATCTATTCAATCAGACTATAAATGGGACTACATTGTCTGTGGAGTTACGAATATTTCCAAAAATTGCTTGTAACTGTTACGTGGACAAACATATGAGGTTATCCACTTTGGAAACAAAACCAAGAAGGCAGATTATTAGCTGAATGGCCATAAACGAAGGGAAGGGAATGTGCAGCGAGGCCTGGGTGCCCTCGTACACCATCACTAAAGCTAAGCACACAGTAAAGGCAGCATATGATATGCTGGCCTTCATAGCGAAAAAAATCGAGTATGGGTACAACAAATGTCTCGTGGCAATTATGCAGAGTCTTATTGAGAACATAAATAAAAAAAAGACTAAGAACCACAGATACTGGAAATCAGAAACAGACATTGCTGGAGAAACTCAGCAGGTCTGGCAGCATCTGTGGGAGAAAACAGAGTTACCATTTCAGGTCCAGTGATCCTTCTTCAGAACTGACTGCAGTTAAGAAAAGATTGATATATGTGCTGAAGATGGGGTGGGGTGTGGGAAGAATAAATGATAGATAGACATGGAAGCCAGGGAGAGAAACATCAGTTGGGCAGACAAATGAATGGGCATTGGTCATCTTAATTTCTCTGCACCATCCTCTCACCATTTGAACCTACCTCCCTCTGAACTGACTGCAGTCCATGCTCTCAGATCCAACCCTGAATTTGTAACCTAACCTGCCGAAAAAGGGTAGTGCTGTTGATGTCTGGCATACTGATCCCTACATTGCAGAGGCTAAGCACCAGCTCTCAGACACCCCCTCCTATCTCCCCTGACACCACAATGGAACACTAGGCCTGTGTGTCCACAACAGTCACTAATCTCATTTCAGCAGGTGATCTCCCCCTCAAACTGCCTCCAAGCTCATAGTCCCCCAGCCCTGAACAACCTACTTCTTGTTCCTTCCCAAAATCCATAAACAGGACTGCTCAAGCAGACCCATGGTTTCTGCCTGACTCCTGCCCCAAAAAACAAGAACTGGCTATTGAACTGAATGAGCAGCCATAATCATAACGAATGGTGCAGCAGGCTCAAAAGGGCTGAATGGCCTACCCCGCTCCTATTTTCTGTTTCCTTGCTGAAGTGACTAAGTGCTAGCTAGTAACCCTACCTTTATCATGCAGGAAACAAATGTGTATAATCCTTTGTAACCAGCCATAAGAAATGTATCTAGAGTGAGAGTAACGACTGGTGAAAACAGTTATATTCTTAAACGGTCATTCCTTCCAATTCACCATAATTAACTTCCGAGAATGATTTCTTTAATTAAAAAACTATGACTATTTCCAACAGACTTCACTGAAAAGGAGTGGGAATAAGCAATCCAACTCACCATCCAAAAAACCCTGCATGATCAAGCAGTAATTACAGGAGATAGAACACATAAAAGTGGTCTCGTGGACGCTGAAATTCTGTTAAAAGATGTCCAGCATATAACATGCAATGTACAGAAAAATTTCAAGATAATATAGATAGATATAGGATCCAAAGAAAAACTGAATCACAACTGGAAATATGAATATACCAGGACTTTGGCAAACCACACTCAAAGAATGTAAACACCGAACATATGTTGCATCAACTGAAAACACAGTTACAAAGAAAAGGGCCATATACTTCTGGCAAAGTCTGGAGGCAGTTCCATCTAATAGTTGAGGCTATTTATTCACAACTTAATTGACATAAATAGTTCAAAATGACCTCTATTTAAAAGGGAGGTGATTGCTCTTGTTTCAGAGGGTCTTTGAACAAAAAACAGACCATATTAGAAGCATATTTTCAATTACTTTCAAACATTCATTTGTTTCTTTACCTGGCACAGAAAGCATAACCTTAACAGAATTTCTATTGGCATCTTTCTGATATATTTGGACTGTTACTAAAGACAAGATAATCTCAGCAGTATTTCAACTGAACTGCAGCACATTTATCCATACTTATTTGGAACTATGGGAGGAAGGAATGGTGACACCTTAAGTTTACATTATGAGAAACTTGTAAGGGTAGATCAACACACAGACCCACAATGCTAGGGTTACCCAGCCAAAGACAGGGTCTGGTAAAACTCACCTTAATGGAGAAAGATTCTGGATCAAAAAAATTAACATTCAAGGTACAGGGAAAAGGGAGTGAGCTGGAGTCGCCAGATTTGTTACAACACAAATACTGGCATGTCTTTACAAATCACTAGTTATGAAACATTTCTCTTCAGATGAAAAACCTTAGAATAATTTTTTTTAAGAATGACTATGTATAATCTACAGCTCTTTCTTCAGGCACTTTAATACATATTTGAGTTATAAATGATAGTGATGGGCAAAAAGAATGTTGCATGGATGATGTCCACAACATTGAGAATTCTTGGCTCTAGCAAATGTACATTGCAAAAAATTCATGCATATAATCACAACTGAGCTGTACACAAGCTAACAATTTGTTAGGCAGAATCATATAAAATTGTGATCTGTGTGTGTGTTCTGCAACAATCAAATTCTCAGTATGTACTCCTGATATGAGAACAACGACAGGGTAATGCAAAGATGTGTGTGTAACCTACCCAACTAGCTTCAATATTTGTGTATTTACTATTTATTCCAAATTTAATAATGTTCATCAAAACTAAATTAACAAATTTACAAATTAAACATTTTTCAAAAAAGCGCATAACCAGATTATCTCAGTATTCCATTTAAACAGTACCTTCACAATCTCAGGACATTGTAAAGTTCATTGCTGCCTATTATATGTTTCTGAAGTGTAGCCTGCTTTGTAGGAATCTTGACATTATTAAGGTCTCACAAACAGAAATAAGATACACAGCTAGAAATTTAACTAAGAGCCAGTGGTTGAGGGATAAATGTTAGCCAAGGTACCAAAAACTCCTCTACTCTTCCTTAAATAATTCTTTGTAATCTTCTACATTCCCTAAAGGATAGATGGATAGTGGTTTAACACTTCATCTGAAGCATGACAGTACTAATGCAATGCTGTATTGTCACTCAGGATTATGCGCTCAACACTCTGGATTTTGAGTTGGGTATAAGGGTACAACCTGTGAGTCTCACTGACAGCTTACCCACTCGAAAAAGGGAGGGAGAGAAAATTGCCATCAGAATCAGCCACCTTTTGACCTTTCTTTGAAAGAATATCAACAATCTTGGGCACAATCTCTAATTATTGGAACATCTAACTAAAGAATCTCAATCCCCATTCAAGTAATGTCAGCAGTTACTCAGAAGCCAACGTTTATAACATTATAGCTTTTGGATATGTACCACTTGTTTACAATCTGACATTTAGTTCATCTCTCGTGATTCTTATCGAATACTTAAACTTAAAAATCAAAAGCAATTACTGGAAGCGTGTTCTTGTTTGAGCAATAAGCAAGATGCACGTCTCACCAGTGAATGCCACTGTGAAAGAATTACTAAGAATCAGCAATTGCATTGTGTATACTGCAAGATGTAAATTTTCAACACAATGGGGAAAAAAATTAGCAAACATGAAACTGTTTACCTCATATGACAAGTCATAAACCCAATTAAAACACCTCAAAGAGGAATTGTGAATGAGGCAGTTACTATGATGCTATTATTTCAGAAGGTCTACTCCAAAACCTTAGAGGTCTATTTCACACATTCAATCTGGTCTCCAGGCTACAGGTGAAGTGGTTTGGAGATCTCAAAGGAGAAGAGTAAAAAAAATTGACTTTTTAAGAACAGCATATTTTTATAAAGACAGTTCTCCCTGGTATGAATATAAGAATTTTGCAGACATAACCTGAAATAATTGACAAAAGTAACAAAAACTTTGAAACTTAATATTTGAAGTTACTGATGTTCTAACAGCCAGAGAAGGCTTATATTGAAAAGGAAGGATGAGTTAGTTTTTTTTATATAGAATCTCGGTGGTAGCATTTCTTTCAAATAGAAGTAAACACTTTATATAAGCCACAATGATACAAAGAACAGCTGTGCAATATGTAACACTGTTATATACCTTATTCTTCATAAACTTGGAATGGCTCCTGTAAACTTCCATCTGTTTCAACTCTTCCTCTCTCTCCTCAATGCTCAGAGCTCCATTTGACTTAAGCATCTGTATTTCATCCTCAAGGTCTCGAATGTTCCGCTCCAGTGATGTGATTTTACTATCCTACAGAGAACACAAACAGCTGAAAGCAGTTCTTTAATGGACAGCTTTTGTTTTATGACTACATAAATTCATAACTATCTGATACGGCACCAATATGCAAGCTTCAGGTCATCCAAAGTATGAAAAGAGTAGTCTTTAACTTTTAAATTTTACGTCACCATTTAAATATTTTACTATTTAGTAATGGAGTATGCAAGTCCACTATGATACCACTTGAGAAATCTAGAATCCCATGTACAAAAACCACTTTGCAAATCTAAAGTTGAAACCAATAAATATTATAACTTCTGGCCTAGCACCAGAAGTGACCAAGAAAGTGTCGGATTGCTAACAACCAAATTGGTTCCCACTGATTTTTAAGGAAAAGTTATAAACTGATTTTGTTTACTTGCAGCAATAGTCCAACTTTATATTGTTAACTAAATGTTTTCTAAGAAATTAAGAACATGGAATAGAATCACTTGGATCCCAAAGACAATACTGAACAAGTCACATCACAATTTAAATACAGCAAACAGATTCACAAAAGTGCATCAATTCACACGCTTCTGTCAAAACCCAAGCATACGTTAAGGATAAGAATGTAATGTCACAGCTGAACTTCCGACTGCAACAAAATGACAAGAATGAACATTCAATGTAATGCTCCTACCCAAATTCAAGAAACAACTTAAACTCAATGTCACAAACTTACATCACACATGCAAACTTCTATTGCAATGCATTCTAAACCTACACCACCAACATGGTTAGTTCAGCCCACACAAACAAAACCCAATCATATCTGGCAAAAATAAGTGGTCATCCTGACAGAAGTTTTTCACCTGATGAAAGCTAAAAAATATCAATTAATAAGTGTGAGGCACAATGAATCACTATTATGAGTTACTTTGACAATTTGCAAAACTGTTAACATTATTTACAAAGTTAAGGCTAATCACTTTGTCACTTCAAGTAAACACACTGGAAAGACTGTTCAGACTCCTTCCTTCTCCCTCCCCTGTGATTATACATTCAAACAGTTGCTAGTAGACAACTGTGCTCTTCCAACTATAATGGTATCTTTGATTAGTGAAAAGAAGAAGCCGGTGATATATTTATTCTATGGAGTAACATTGCACTAAAGGAATATGAGCTTATTTTTAGACTTTGCAGACCTAAGCATTAATATTTCAATGTAAATTACATCGAATCTTTGAACTTGGGTTGTACACCATAACACAATGCCAAATAAAAATCAACTGGAGTCAACTTTCTGAGTCTGTTACAGAAATGAGATACCTCTCCCATTAACTATGCATCATGGAAAATTGTAACTTTTGATCTAGTGTGAATAGTGAACAGTTTAGTCACATTGAGGTGAAGGGTGCAGGAGGCAGGTCTCATGAACGAAAAGATTTCAGAGGACAGAATAGGGGCCCGAAGGCAAAGGTAGTATCATAGCACCATTACAGCACAGAAGAAAGTCCTTTGAACAGTTGGGTCTACACTACGCTTCCAAAGAGGGATTCACACAATGTGGCTTTCCACCCTCTCCCCAAATTCATTGTCCTCAAACATTTTAGAGTATTTAGAAAATGTAAAAAAATCTATGACACCAAAGGTGGCTATTCTGCCCATTATGTCTGCCAAGAAAGGAATCAACTCCCTAATCCCATTTTCCAGTACCTGGTCCATATCACTGGATTGGGATAAGGCAGATGGAACCTGGGTAGCAACTAAGTCTCAACCTTACTGACTGAGTGGTGGGGGGGGAAGAGTGAGGGAGAGGGAGAAAGGGGGGAGGGGGGAAGGCGGGGTGGGGGGGGTAGCGCAGCGGATAAGACAAGAATGAGTGCGGGGGGGGGACAAAAACGAGTGACGGACAGACAGACAGAGGACAAGAGAAAGAGAGGGGGGTAAACAGAGGATCTGAGCGAGAGACTGACAGACAGACAGAAGTGAGAGTTGAGACAGACGGAGAGAGGAGACAGAGACAGAGACAGAGACTCACACTCAAAAAACACAGAATGAAGGGGACATATAAGAGGCAGGCAGAGGATGATAATGAGAGAGACACAGAGAACGAGAACGAGAACAAGAGAGAGACAGACAAAACAAGAACGAGAAAGGCAGAGCATGAGAACGAGAGACACAGAACGATTATGAGAGAGACAAACAGACAGTGAGACAGAAAGAGACAGACAGAGCAAGAAGGGGACACGGAGTGAAAGACAGTTAGAGAGATAGAAACAGGGAGACAGAGAACAAAAGAATGAGAGTCAAGGACAGACAGACAGGCAGCCAGACAAAGAGAGAGCAAAAGAGAGACACGCAGAAAGAGTGTGAGACAGACTCAGACTGATTCAGAGAGAGAGAGAACGAAACCAAGACAGACCGAGACCAAGACAGAATGACGAAATGATAGGCAAATCGAGAATGAGAATGAGATCAAGACTCAAAGAGAATGAGAACCACACCGAGAGACTGTAAATGAGAACAAGTCGAAAGAGAGCATGACAGAGAACAAGAAAGAACGAGTTGCTGATTTTGTTAAAATCTTGCATGTGTTGACATTCAGCATAATATTGGATCTTTCAGAGTCTGTCTCTTTTCATGTCATAACCTTACATTCCAGATTTATCTTTGGGCATCAGCTTTGAACTATCGGAATGCTGCCTTCATCAGCATCATTTTCACAAAACCAGTCCTGGTGGCAATAATGCTCAAACTCTATAGTTGAGACATAGGAATGTGGCACCGATGACTATTCAATCCCACTGTCCTGGAAATATATGCTGCACTTAGAAATCCTCTTTTCAATCAGACTACTTCAAGGTTGAGACATTGATCTTCTAGATTTTGAGCCTTGTGGCATTTTGGTGCTAGGTCAATGCTCATCACTAAATGATGTGTTTAGCAGCTAGAAGTCCCCCACGTGAGTCAAGTGATATAGACATAACATTCTGATTTTTGATCCAAACAAGGGCTCAATCTAGGAGATGTCAGTGCTTTGATGTAGGATGCTGCCATGTAATTTTTTATAATCAGGGCATGCTGAACATACATTGCTTGCAGAAGAATATCACTTACATTAGCTATTCCCACTCTAATTTTTTCATTCCAGATATTGGAGTCATGGCCAACCCTGGCATTAATATTCTCCAGAATAATGATCCTTTCTTCGTTGGGAATGGAATTAAGGTCTTCATCAAGGTCAGAACAGAACTTGACTCCAATGGAGATGTTACAGGCCAGAGTAACAGCATAAGCACTTATGAAGCTGACATATTGGTTACCGATAAGATATATATGAAATGTCATAATTTCTATATTTAGGCAGTTCCCTCCATGGATTGTCATTTTGATGTATTGGAGAGGTATGTGTGGTCTGACGATTTCTTGAATAATGCCATCGGGAGTTTCTTGCTCCTGGTTTGAACACATGTGACAGAAACAATGGGGTTAGGGGTCAGATAAAGTGCAGATCAAAAAGTCCTGAATGACAAAATAGGTGAAGGAAGACTGTGAAGGAGGGCAGAGACTTGCAAGCAGCGAGGTTATCCTGGTCACTAGTTTGACACATCTCCAAAATCTGATCATTAACCATCAAGATCATGTTGACTTTGTGACCTATGCTGTCATGTTAAACAAATTCACATATAGGCTCTAACAGGTCCATTTGGCAAGTCCTGTGCAGTAGAGAATTGACATCAGGGATAAGGCTGTGAACTAGGTAGTTCCTAATCAAGAATCACAGGCAACTCGATACTAGCATGGGGAATAAGATGTCTTTGGGCAGTATCTTCTGTGAGTACATCTCTTCTGGATGCCCTCTGATAACTCCAAATGGGGCATGGTCCAGAAAAAAAAACCCTAAAATACACTGTCCCACTTACTAAGAACCACATTCTGCAGGATCACCTTCACTATGGTCAAAGTGAAAAAGGTACATCCTTCAACTTAGAATGTTGGAACACCAAGGAATAATCTGAAGATCAACCATGCAAAATTAAGATCTACAATTGTATCACATGAACCATTGAGATGCCAAAGTGATAATGATGTTCTCAGTGAGTCCCAGCTTCCTAGAGCAGCTAAAAGAAAACACCTTCTCCTGGAAAGGAAAAGGAAAAGGAAAAGGTTAACAGCAGCTCTGGTATCCAGCATGTTAGTTCTGTCATCTGGAAAAGGATTTCGGACACATTGCCAGAACTGCCCAGTTGCATAAATGAATAATGTCGTGCATAGAGACAGATGTAGGCTATTCAGCCCTTCAAGCCTGAATTGATGCTAACAGAGTAAGGTGGAAGGTAAATAATTAACACTACTTTCTTAAATAATGGTTCCATTCAATCATGACTATAATTTTGCTCTCAATGGTCACAGTCCAAAATCTCAACACGAAGAATATCACAAGCCCAAAATTCAAAATGGTCAGCACACAAAAGATCAGGAATCAAGTAGTTTTTCATATTATTTTGGTTATCAACTAAGCTTTTATTCCGATTAGATTTCACACAAAAAGAAAATGTAACACTAGGAGTAAATGTCAAAAAATATTTAGGGATGTGAGAAAAGGCAAATATTAATATACAAGTCCTGAGATGTTATGTCAAAGATTATCAAACACCTTTGAAATTCATCAAACCGAAATCAACATCCCCCTGCATATTCAGATAATCCACTGAACCACTACAGACACGCTAATATGACAATAAAAATAAACAAAAGTAAAGATCTTTATTTACCTTCATTTCAATAACAGTTTGCAGTGCTTTTGTCTTAGCTGATTCTGGAGCCACTTCAATTCTCCGCTGAATATCCTAAAGAGTTGAAGGAAGAAATGAGTGTTACAATTGAGGTTTAAGCCAGTATGATCTTTCGAACTGTCTCCTTAACTCAGGGCAAAACGCTGGGGGTTATGCAACCAGTGCTAAAGTCGGCTTGATTTAGATTAAAAGGAAGGCTGAGATAGGGTTACAAGGTGACTTACGCAAGGTATTCACACTCAAAATTGTAAAAGGTAGCTACAGTGTCACTATGAAAATGAAGTAAGGTCTTCACACTTGTAAACAATTGCAAAGGTAGTTATGATGCTGTTGGAAATTCTGAAATATTCCTAGTCCAAGGGAAGTGTTAAGAATGCCAGGTTGCAATCACTAAATATCTCAGACACGTGAGTTATTCTATCAGGCTCCAGGACAGGAAAAGAAGCTACAGGCAGTCAGAAGCTATGGTCCACTGCACAGGAATGACTGTGCATGCCCAAATTCCTGAGTAGTTAAAACAAGCTTCTACTAGGAGAATAATCTCTAGAGGGGAGAAAGACTAGAGAGAGACAGTTCTGAGATTAGAGTTCTTAGGCTGAGAAAGGAAATAAAACAGAATTAAACCTGAAGCTGAAAAAATTTTGAACTGACTCAAAGAATTGAATGGCAAATTGAAGGACAATGTAAAGTATACCTTTGTAGTCAGTTTTATTAATTAAAAACCGAAATAATTGCAGATGCTGGAAATCAGAAACAAAATCAGAGATTGCTGGAAAAGCTCAGCAGGTCTGGTAGTGTCTGTGGAGAGAAATCAGTGTTAATGGAGTTCTGAAGAACGGTCATTGGGCCAGAAGCATTAACTCTGATTTCTCTCCACAGATGCTGTCAGACCTGCTGAGTTTTATCAATTGTTCCGAAAGTAAAAAGTGAAAGGTTTTGGAGTTCGTAGTACAAGTTGCCTACAAAGATAGCATTTAGTTAATCAACTTTTTAGTTTTTTGATGTAGTAAACATCTTAAAACATGAAACCTTGCTGCATTATTCTTTCAGTCTAACTTTATAAAGGAGCTTGAATTTCCAGTTAACAGTCTTGCAAGGATAACATCAGAAGGCTAAATTGTAATGAACTTGTAGCCCTTCATGTTTGTGTTTGTTTCTATACTAAACTTTCAGTATATGCTCAATTTTGGCATATGCCTACTTAATTTGTATTGCATCAGTATCAGAAGGTTAAATGTGTGCACATGGTATTGCTTTTCAAAAACACTGCAGTGTTCAAAGAGTGTAACTCTCTGAAATGTTAGGCATAATCAGTTATATTGATGGGCACTATTTTGTGACTTGGTGATTGATTCCCACCGTTACTTTTGCCATGGAAATAGCTGCTGTCTCTATGTTACAACACGGACAAGTTTATTTTTCACATACATAATTTTTGGTCCCCTAATCTCAGAATAATGCCAAACAGAGACTCCTGCAAATTTCAAATTGTTGACAAATCAGAAGAATGTACTTAGTTTGGGTATCCAGAAATAATCAATGGTGAACTACTGTGAAGGCCAAATTATAGTCATACAGCATAAAAACAGGACCTTTGGTCCACCACGTCTAGGCCAACCAACAAAAACTAAGTTACACTAATCCCATTTACTTGCACTTAGTCCCTAGCCTACGATACCCTGGCATTTTAAAGTACTCGTCCAGATGCTTAAGAATTACAAGAGTACCTGCCTCCACCACCTTCGCAAGCAGCATGTTCCATATTTCTGCCACCCTCTGAATGAAAAAAATTCCCTCTCAGATCACCTCAAAACCACTTCCTTCTCACATTAAAACATGGCCTCTAATCTTAGACAGGTCTGCAACAGAGAAGAGATTCTCACAATCTACTGTCTTTACCTCTCATAATTTTGTATGCCTCCTCTGCTTAAAGGAAAACAAACCCAACCCATCCAGTCTCTCCTCATACCTGAGACTTTTCATCCCAGACAACATTCTGATGAATCTCTTCATATACTGTCCATTGCAATCACGTCCTTCAGATAGTGTGGCTGCCAAAACTGCACACAGTTTTCCATCTGTGGTCTAACCAAAGTTGTAACAAGACTTCCTTGCTCCTATAGCCTACAATCTGGCTAATGAAGGCAAACAATCCATATGCCAGACCAGCTGAGACTACTCTGAAGGACTCTCCTCATCCTCTGCCTTCGCCTGTGTTGCGGTCCCCCTCACGTTAAACCACCAGTCATTTCTCTCTAAGAGACAGCAATCCTATGGTTTAGTCAGACTACGGTGACTTTACCTTTACAGGAAAATACTGACAGAATTGAAATTATGTAGAGAAAAATGTATTCTTTGTTAGAAAACATTTTAGTCTGAGAGAATCTCATCATGAGTAGCTGGTCTTCAAAAGATTTAGTAGCTTTCCAAAATTACATATCATAGTTTAAAACCATGACTACAAGTAGAAATGGAACATTTTAACACAGAAAAATTATGTTATAGAAACAGGGCCTTCAGTCCAACTCATCCATGCCGACTAGGTTCCCTAATCTGAACTATTCTTGTTTGCCTGGGTTTAGCCCACATGGTTCTAAACTCTTCCTATCTATGTACCTGTCTAGATGTCTTTTAAATGTTGTAATTGTACCTGCCTCTATCACTTCCTTGGACAGCTCAATGTCAATTTGATGATAGGTACGTACACTAAATAGTTCTACATAACAAATTGTAAATACCTACACTGAAAAAGATAAACACGCCAATAAAATACTTTCTTTTCGCAAAATAAGAATAAAACATCCATAAAGGTTTATCACTTTTCTTTTTCCCCAGTCTTGCATTCCCATTTAAAGCTTGAAGGAAGACATTAGAAAGAGACATCTCAAAAAGCTCCACATTTTGCGGACAAGGTATATTGTGGACATGATTTTTCATGTTCTTCTGTTTATTCTTGTAACTGTACTGGGACTGCTCAGTTAGGGGTAATGCTAATTTTGGGGCACAAGCCTTCAATACTATTGCCAGAAGGTTATCAGAGCCCAAACCTTTATAATATCAAGTGCCATCAGGTCTAGTGTATCGATGTGGCTGAAGCCTGACATCTGTGATGCTTGGAATCTCAGGAGAAGACCGAGATGTTTTGTCCTTGACACTTCCACTGGAAGATACTTCCAAATGTTTCAGCCTGTCTTTTGCACTCGTATGCTGGGCTCCCTGTCATTGAGTATGGGGATATTTATGGACCCTCTTCTTTCAGTGTCTTGTCTAAGTGTCCATTATCATTCAGAGGGGTGAGAAGTCCAGATGAAATATTAAGCAAATTAACACTGAAATGAAAAATGGATTTCTGGACATGCAAGTTAGGAGAAGTAAGGCATTCACCCCTCGGGCCTGCTCCACCGTTCAATAAAATCAGGCTGATTGGTGGTGCAGTGAATTCCACTTTCCCACCTGCTCGCATAACCTCCGATTGCCTTGCCTAACAGGAATCTATTACCTCTGCCTTAAAATTATCCAATTACCATCATGCGCACTGCATTCAGAGACAAAGAAGTCACAAAACCCTCAAAAAAAATTTTCACCTTTGTCCTCATGCGCCCTAGTTCCGCACCACTTATCCACAAGAGGAAATATCCTTTCTAAGTCCACCTTGTCAACTCCGTTCATGATTTTACATACTTCAAAAAGGCCACCGGTCACTGTTCTAAACTCCATGGAAGCAAACCCAGTCAATCTAACCTAACTCATAACACCCGCAGCTCATTCCAGGTGTCAGACACGGTAGTAAATCTTGAACAAAAACAGAAGCTGCTGAAAGCTCAGCAGGTCTGGCAGCATCTGTAAAGAGTCCAGTGTTTCGGGTCCGGTGACCCTTCCTCAGAACTCTTCTGTCTTCGTTCCTGATTTACAGCATCCACAGTTCTTTTGGTTTTTATGGTAGTAAACCTGATCTGAATCAACTCCAACATATTTACATCCTTCTTTAAATAAAGAAACAAATTGCACACAGGATTTGAGATGTGGTCTCACCGACAGTCTGTATAAATGAAAGCATAACATCGTTCCTTTTATGTTCAATTCCTCTCATAATAAAGGATAGCATTCCATAAGCTTTCAAAGTTGCTTGCTGTATCTGAATATAAACTTGGTGATGCACACTATAGAACACATAGAACAAAGGACAAAGAACAATGGAGCACAGGAACAGGCCTTTCGGCCCACCAAGGCTGTGCAGACACATGATGCCTTTCTAAACTAAATATCTTTTTGTCTCTATGCAGTCTATATTCTTCTATTCTCTGCCAATCTGTATCTGTCAAGATGCCTCTGAAACATTGCTATTGTATCTGCTTCCACCTCCTCCTCTGGCAGCACATTTCAGGCACTTACCACCCTCTGTGTAAAAAAAAAAGGTCACTCTGCACTTCAGAATTTTGCATTCGTTCTCTATTTACGTAGTTCTGTTTTGTTATTTTCCCAGCCAAAGGCATCAATTTCATATTTCCCCACATTATACTCCACCTGCCAGATTTTTGCCCACACAACCTTTCTATATCCATGTGAAACTTATGTCCTCTAGATAACATACTTTCTGACCAATCTTTATGCCATCCTCATCTAATGTAAATTGCAAAAAGCCAAGGCCCCAGCACAGATCCCTGCAGGACTCCACACATCACATCTTGCCTATTCAGAAAAAGATCCATTTACGTACACTATTTCTATCAGCCAATCTTTTATGAATCCTCATATGTTACCCTCACATCATAAGCTCTGATTTGGCACTATGACATTTTATGTCTCATCATGCTAATCCAGACATCAAAGTGAACAAGATCCCCTTATCCAGACAGCCTATTCCTCATTCAAAAAATTACAATAAATTGATTAAACATGATTTCCATAAAACCCTGTTGACTCTTCCCAATGACTGTGTTTTTCTAAATGACCAACCCATAATCTTCTTAAATGATTGATTCCAACACCTTTCCAATGATAAACATCAAGCTAACTGGCCTAGAGTTTCAGGTTTGCTGCCCCTACTTAAGAATTCACTACTTTCTACTCTGATGAAACCTTTCCACAATCTACCAAATATTGTAAGATTAACAATGCATCAACTACCTCATTAGATGGTGAGAGAGCCAACAAGAGGAAATAAGATACTTGACCTCATCCTCGCTTGTGTACAAATAGCAGACATAACTTTCTATGCTAGTAGTGATAGGAGAGGCCACTGCATAGACCTTCTATGGTCAAAGCCCATCTTCACAGTCCACATTAAGGGGACAGACTTCGAACTAATTGACAACTGCGTGTGATTAGTTACATGACCCAACATGCAAGGGCATCAGAGTGGCAGAGTTCAAAACATTCTGTGCTTTATCCTTTTGTCATCAAGAATAATTGTCCTCCCACAGTCCAAAGATGTGCAGGTTAGGTGGATTGGCTTTGCTAAATTGTCCATAGTATCTAGGGTGGGAAACGCATTGATAGGGTAGGGGGTGGGTCTGAGTGAGATGCTCTTTGGAGGGTTGGTGTGGACTCTATTGGCAAAATAGCCTGCTTTCCCACTGTAGGGATTCTATGAAATCTATTCTATGAAAAATTCATTGGCCAATGTGTAATTTTTCCCAGAAAGCCAATCCTGGCAGAGAAATCAGTTATTTTTCTTGAAGACTGAGTGACAGAGAGAGAGATACTATGCGCATATGCACATGCAGGCACTTTGGGAATATTTAGAGGGACAAGCATTCATACTGTGATATAATTGACAGTGTAGCTTAAGAAATTAATGCACCTCTTTTGATGAAGCTTTGTGTTGAGAATGAACCAATGATTGTGTTGAGAAACCTGGTTGATAGGATCATTAAAAACTAGGAGCAGGAGCAGGCAATTCAACCCCTCAAGCTTGTTCCACTATTTGATACGATCGTGGCTGATCTCATCTTGGCCTCAATTCCTTTCCTACCTGCTCCCCATTATCCTTCAAACCATTACTGATTAAAAACCTGTCTATCTCCTCCTTAAATTTACTCCATGTCCCAGCATCCAACCCCATCTGAGGTAATGAATTCACAGATTCACAATCCTTTCAGAGAAGTAGCAGCTTTTCCTCATCTCTATTTTAAATCTGCAACCATTTATCCTAAAACTACAGCCTTTATAGAAGTAAATCATTCTTATCAATTTCTAAGAAAAGAAAATTTAAGTTATCAGAAGTTCTCGGCCCTTCACTGTTGTCATGCTGCAATATTACAAGTTACATAGCATACCTTAGGCTTTTGCAAAGGTCAAGTAGAGTTCTCGCCTGCACTTAAAGTTTAAATGAAGGTACAAGGTTCTCACAATTCAACTATTCAATGTAGTCATGATGTAGTAGTAGTAGTGTCCCTATCTCTAAGTCAGCAGGCCAATATTCAATAAAAATTGAAAGAACTGCGGATGCTGTAAATCAGGAACAAAAACAAAGTTGCTGGAAAAGCTCAGCAGGTCTGGCAGCATCTGTGAAGGAAAAAATAGAGTTAACGTTTCAGGTCCAGTGACCCTTCCTCAGAACTGTTCCCCAGTTCTGAGGATGGGTCACTGGACCCGAAATGTTAACTGTTTTATTCCTTCACAGATGCTGCCAGACCTGCTGAGCTTTTCCAGCACCTTTGTTTTTGAGGCCAATATTCAAATTTCAGTTGCTCCAGTGATGTGTAATAACATCTCTGAATAGTTTATTAGAAAATATCTAGTGTTGTTTAGCCTCTGAGACATCTAGTAAACATTCTAGCAAAGTCACATCTGCTAAAATATGTGAACTGTTAACTTTGAGAATTGGAGAAGAGCCTTAGTTTGATTAAATAGCCATTATGAAGATGTTGTGCAGAGTCATGATCGAAGTTGGGAACTGAATATTGATGCAGTAATCATACAGGACTTGAATCTTCAAGAATCAAGTTTGCACTCAGCCTGGAGGAGCTGTTCATGGAATCACTCAATAGTTTTGCATACCAATATCCTAACAAACCTTATTTTTTCAGTTCTCCAAATAATCTGTGAATGCTGAAAATCAAAATCAAAATCAGAAACAAACAAACAAACAAACAAACAAACAGAAATTGCTGTAAAAACTCAGCAGATCTGGCAGCATCTGTGGAGACAAAGTAGAGTTAACGTTTCAGGTCCAGAGACCTTCCTTTAGAACAAATCCAGACATTCCCTGTACTAGTTAGGATTCACTTTTTTCAAAAAAAAGTTACTCAATGTTGAAACAATCCCCAACAACAGCTGCTCAAGAGCCCATCAGCTCCCAAACCCTCTGTATTGTCACTTCATAATTTTCTTTTTAGAAAGCACAGAGGAGCAATTTAGGAGGAGTGCTCCCACACAGGTCCTTGTCTGGTGTTCTCTAGGAGGTGAGTAAAGGTTCGAAAGCTGGGCTGCTCTTTACTAATAGACCAGGGAGGATACTTCCATGCAGATTCAAGTCAGGTCTTTTCCAGGGGTTGAGTAAAGGCATGTAATACCACAACTAATTTTTTATAGAGAATTTTTTTTTCATTTGTTCAAGGGATGTGGGAGTCACTGGCTAGCCCACCATTTATTGTTGATCCATAAATTCCCCTCAAGAAAATGCCCCTGTGTTGGTACACCACAGGGATCTGTAGAATTTCCACAACATTGGGCTGGGGCAGAGATGCATAATGATTCTAAGTTTGCACTTCTGTTGCTAGCATAGGTACTGAAATGAAATATTACTGTTTACTTACTGAGTTTATGGGGTGTGTTAGGGATGGTTTTCTCGAGCAGTATTTGGAGGAGCCAACTACAGGACATAACGTTAGATCTAATATTATGCAATGAAAAAGAGCTAATGAACCATCTTGTTACAAAAGAATCTTTTATGTTGAGTGGCCACAGTATGACAGAACTTTACATTATGTTTGAGAGTGAGGTAGTTCATTTTGAAGCAAGGGTGTTAAAGGGATAAGGCAAATTATGAAGGAATGGAGGTACAAATTGGCTTAGGTGGATTGGGAAAATACATTATAGGCATAACTGTACAATGAACGGTCTTTCAAAGAAGATGGCTTACAGTAACTATACATTCCTTCAAGATGAAAAAAAAACTCAAAAGGATTAGTCAACTGTAGCTAACGAAGCAGGTTCAAAACTGTAGAAGGTTAAAAGAAAAGGCCTATAAAGTTGCTCGAAATAGCAAATCAGAGGATTGGGAGCTTTATGGAATGCAACATAGGAGAACCAAGAAACTGGTAAGGAAAGGGAGAAGAGAATACGATGCAATGTAGCAAAATGTGAAAAAAAGATTGTAACTGTCTTTACATGTACATGAATGAGAAGTGTTTGCTAAAACAAGTGTGAGTCCAATACAGGCAGAATCAGGAGAATTTATAATGGGGAGCGGAGAAATTGCAGAGAAGCTAAACGATTGCCTTGTGTCTGTTTTCCTGGACGAAGATTTCAGAAATCTCCCAAACTAGAGATCCAGGTGGCTAGGGAGAATGAGGAGTTAAAAGAAATTAGCATTTGTAAGAAAATTGTATTGGAGAAATTGATGGGTCCAAAAAGTTGTTACATCTGCAGAACAATATGGTCTACATCCTACAGTGTTGAAGGAGGTGGCTAGAAGGATAGTCAACAAATTGATGATTATCTTCCAAAATTCTATACATTCTGGAATGATTCCCGCAGATGAGAAAGTATTTACTTGCTTAGATGTAGCACACTTAGATTTTCAAAAAACAGAACAAGAATAGTCTTTCTCATGTTGGCAGAGTATGACTCGTGAGGTACCACAAGGATCAGTGCCTGGGAGCCCAATTGTTTGCAATATATTGTTGGGGACTAAATGTATCATCTCCACGTTTGCAGATGACACAAAGCAGAGTCAGAATATCTGTTGAGAGGAAGATGTAAAGAGGCTTTAGGAGGATTTAGAAAGACTTTGTGAAAGGGCAAAGAACATGGCAGATGGAATATATTGTGAAAAAATGTGAGGTTACCAACTTTAGTAGGAGAAACAGATGTGCAGAGTATCTCTGAAATGGCAAGACATTGGAAGGTGTAGGTGTACACAGAGACCTAGGTGTCCTTGTTATTAAGTCACTGAAGCTAACCTGCAAGTGCAGTAAACTATTAGGAAAGCCAATGAAATGTTTACTGTAAGAGGTTTGGTGTACAATTGTATAACTTGGTTAGACAACAAAAGTAGTACCACGTGCAGTTTCGGAATCCTTATCTCAGGAAAGATATAATTGCCAGAGGGAGTACAACAAGGTTCACCAGATTTGTTTCGCCTAGTTTGGCAGACTGTCTGATGAAGAAAAGTTGGACAAACTGCAACTGTTTCTCTAGAATTTCAAAGAATGAGACATGATCTCATCGTAACTTTAAAAAAATGGTTAAAAAAAGGGTTGACGGAAGTAAGATGTTTCTGCTAGCTGGTGAGTCTAGAACCATGGGGCTCAATTTAATAATAAGGTCCAAAATGAAGAGAAACAATTTTACTAACAGCATTGTGAACCTTTGGAGCTCTCTACCACATACAATGGAAGCCGAGTCTTTGAGCATGTTTGCAGATTGATAGATTTCTGATTCCCAGTAACGTACAGGGTCATAGGGATGGGGTGAACAGAAGGCATTGAAATATTGATCACCAATGATCATAGTGAATCTCAGCCCAGTTCAATGGGCTGAATGGCCTACTCCCACTCCTATATTGTTCAATGGTGCTCTATGTAAGGAAATCTGCAGATATGAAAAGAGACGCTTAAGAAAAGAAAAATGCTGTTCAAATAGAAAATAATGCTTACCTCTCTCAGCTGATTATTTTCTTTTTCTTTTTGTTCAACTATGTTTTCTAACTGGTTCACAAGCATTTCTGCTTCAGCTAGTCGGCGTATTCGCTCATGGTCTTCTTCCATTACCTTTGAGGACAGTCCTTTGCTCTGAAGCATCTCCAGCAGTTTCTTGATAGATTCATCACGGGCACTGAGTGTTTGTTTCTGTGTCTCAATACGCAGCTCCATCTCCTCCAGAGTCTTGCGCAATAGGAATAGTTCTTTGGCCTGACGTTCATGTTCAGTGTGAAGGTGGTGGAAATTTTCCTCTGTCAGCTCAGCAATAAATGGCTCACTTGTTCTGCTGCTATTGTCCTGCTGAAAGAGTTGGTTCAAATCTCGCTGAATTCGGAGCTCATCCTGCAAAGCCTGAATTGTCATTTGAAGGTGCTGTAATCCAAAGAACAAGAAAATCAAATTTTTTTTTTTAAATCCATAAAACATCTAACTTCATACTGTACAAAAATGATAGGTTTTCAATGTTAAATTTTCATATATGTCCAGAATTACACAATTATTTTGCTCAATTAATCAATTGTCAAGGAGATGACATAAAGACAAATTAGATGTATGCGGGATTATCATACTACAGGTTCGATGACAGACAAAACAATATAATGAAGATCTCCCTGCTCCAAGCATTTCTGGTCTCTAACAAAACAATAGCAGGGACAATCAAATGCCATATTTAGATGGCTACTAACTATTGATCATTATCTGCAAATTCCTGCAAAACAAAATCTTATAGCCACTTATATAAAGGTCGGATTAACATTGCATTGGAACTGCACACTGTGCAATTTGTCCTGTTATCCCTGCTTGTAATGAATTAGCACCGTGGGAATGTGATCTTGACAAGTGGAGTGGTCCACAAACTGAGTTTCTTGCAGGGTGACAGTTTGCAAGTAGGTCATGTTTTGGCCAGGATAGGCCTTCAATGTTGGCCTGGTATATTCTTGATGCTAGTCACGTTGTGCAGCTTTGTTGTCCCTGAGAAAATCCACTTGTTAATGGATTTTAACTGTTTGGACCAGGAGCCAATGTTCAGTCACCTTTTTTTGACAGCAGGCTTTCAGTTGGAAAGCTTACTCGAGTGAAGGTTGTCACATGCCACCAAACAGTCCAGCCACCGACATCAAGGAAAGCCTCAAAGACACAGAACATCTGAAATTATGTGACTCCTAGCCCGTTTTCAACAAACCTAACCATCACTAAATATCTACATCCACTAAATGGCCTGTAGCCCAACATCGTAATGCATCTTACAGTACACCTAACAATTCAAATTTGCAGACAAACAGAAATTGCTCGAAAATCTCAGCAGGACTAAGAACGTCTGTACAGAGAAAGCAGAGTTAACGTTTCGGGTCCAGTGGCCCTTTCTTTGAAGAACTCAAAACAGTACAAATTCTGAACTGGGAGAAGACCAGTTTTACAAAGTAGAGCTATGACTGAGTCAGGTGAAACAGAAACAGATAAATAAACTCCTCGATAAATCAGTGGCATTGTATTTGAAGGCATTTGAGGAACAGATGGAGAGAGAATTCAGAACAAATATGTTCCTGCTTCAAAAGGATTGAGTTCCCATGTCTACAAACTCGTGGATGCCAATCAGCATGTCGGAACATACCAAAAAAGTGAAATTTAAGTCTCAAAGCACGCACTGTTTGGACACGTTTTGATTGGTTCGAAGTCAAATTTAGTTTGATAATGCACCTATGAAGCACTCTCAGATGTTTTACTACATTAAAAATGCCAGACAAGTCAAATTGTCAATGTTATCAAGCAAGCATGCACAGCGCTTTTAAGAATAAATTAAAGTTAACAAAAAATCATAAGAAGCAGTATTTTCTAAATTCTAATTTAGTAGAATCTAAATGCAATTACAATTCCTGCTGAGAGTGATTAGTTTTAAAATCTTTTGAATACCAGTGACCAAAAGGGAAAAAAAAAGACAAGCATTTAAATTAACCTGAAAACAACATTGAACTGCTTAGGCAATAGGCAATTTATACTCTAAATGTGTAATTCCCAAGTTTTTGTGGTCATGTACCCTAAAAGATTTACTAAAATTCTGCACATCCCTACAGAGTTTGTTTTTACACTGTCCCTCTAATGACCACACATTTTGTTACAACTTAGTACAGTTTGACAACATGATTGCTGGACGCAAAGAGTGCACTTTTTCATGTTCACTGTACTCTCATGAGCACATCTGAAAATAATTTAACTATATTAGCTATATTTTTAACAATATAATGAAGTTAATTTTGAAATTATGATGAACATTCTGTGAACATATTTGCTGGCTCGCTGGTAGATTAAAGGAACCCTCAGAATCACTCAAACATCACACCGACTTCTGCCATTCCTTTTCATCAATAAAGAGAATTTTCTTTCAGGTAAGGAGACATCGATAATGAAACTCAACATCATCTCTAGTATGCCAGCACTTCAGCTGACTGAGAAAAGGACGTTAACCCCAGCTCCAAGTCATTGCTCTACAGAACAGCAGTGTTAATTGCCCTCCTGTTGGCATCAGACATACGGACCACGTTCAGCAAAGACTTTCAAATCACTGGAGAAATATCACTAGCAATATCTCTGAAAAATCATGCAAATGCAATGGCAGGATTACTATCTAATATCAGTATCTTTCCTCAACCCAATAACCCCATCATTGAGACCTTGGTTACCGTTACAGCTCTGTTGCAAATTTGTTTGCTCACCATTTCTTCCTTCTTAATCAAACCCCTTGGTTCTCCTTTGCTGAATTCTAAACTAGTCCCAATTAATGGGATGCTAATTGTTTCTAGCAACCTCGTATTATTTTGGATCCCAATCTACCTTCAAGTTTTTTTGCGAGCCATAGTTGGACCACCTTTTTATGTTATATTTTGTACTGGAGTGCAGTGTACAACTGCTGCTATGCATGCATTCATTCCTTAAACATTAGCCATTGCTTATCCACCATTATGTATTTCCATCTATTGTATCCACGTCATGCCTTAAACATGCCTAGTTTCTTTTATTTCGATTTGAGATCCCAGTTTCAGATTGGACTTCTTTGTTTTCCATCCCAATGAAGAATTTTATGTTATGATCACTCATCCCAAAAGTACCTCTCATGATGAGCTTATTAAGTAACCCCTTTTCGCATAAAATTTCAGTGCACAGTTGCCTGTTTCCTAGTTTGTTCTTGAAATACAGGTCTAGACACATGCTCTAGGAATTTATTTACCAGTATCATTGCTGATTTGCCCAGTCTGTACAGATTAAAGTCATTCATGATTACTGTAGAACCCTTGCTGCATACATATTTCCAGTGTAATACCACTCCCTTTCCACCACTGAACAGAGGCCTACAGACAGCTCCCACAGATATTTTCTGCCCCTTGTTGTATCTTAGGTCTACTTAAATGGATTCAACATCTAGTTTTGAGTGAACATCCTTTCTCACTACTGTGCTGATTTCAACCTTTACTACCCATGCTATTCCCCACCTCTCTTTCTTTTTAACCTGTCTTTCCCAAATACTGAATATCCCCAGATATTCAGTTCCCAGCCATGGTCTACATAATCACAATGATACTGAACATCTCTCCCTTGCTAAATTGAAAAATGAATTGGTATAAGACCCCAGGGATACATAAACAAGCCAGAGCTGCAGAAAAATAATTCCAAAGCGATCCAAGCTGGTGTAGGATCAGTAATTTTTAAATAATAATTTTGACTTGATTAAGCAAGTGAGGGATTAGATTTATTCTGTTAGACTCTGGTTTGTTCATAAACACTTACTGAAAAAACGCCACGTGGCCGAGGTCATAGATTGACGGGTTTTTATTTAATAACTCAAGCTACTGTAAGCTTAAACTAACAAATGGGAGAATGCTTTGATGTTAAACACTTCTTTTCAAGGTCACAGCTACGTTTTACAATAGTTAAGTCTAGTGACTTTCATAAATTGTGTATGTATGCATACTTTTGAAAGAACACTTTGGTATAATGTCTGGAGTCGAATTCTGTAGTTCTTTTGACCTTTTCCTTAAAACATGCATCAGTTGGGACATTCAAGATGACAGTAAACTGCAAGGTGACACTACATATTCTAGACAGATAAATGGCCTCATTGGTGATATGTTACCTTGTTGAAGATGTATAAAGTCGATAAGATAAGACAGGCAAATTGTCTGAGAGGAATGATTGTAAAGTGCCTGGGATGTAAAAGAATGTACCACGAGTCAATGGGAAGTGATGTCACTAAGATGTCACTAGCAAACTAAAGATGGACAATGAACTTTTCAGACACCAATAAGCCAACCTTAGTTCAAGATGTCTCTAACCATGTATGGGGTAGTGACTAGCAAGGGTTACTGAGTGTAGATTCTGTGTGGTTTGATGCACAAGACAGGAAGAAAGACCAAAGACAGAGAACATCAGTCAACAGAACAGAAAACAACAAGAAACCTGTGCCCAGTCAGGGTCTAGGCCCGCAATGTCAGCCTTCCTGCTCCTCTGATGCTGCTTGATCTGCTGTGTTCATCCAGCTCTACACCTTGTTATCCCAGTCAAATAGGGTTGTGAACTGGTATCCTAAAGTGAACCAACTGAAAAAAACACTTCTTTTTTCCCCCCCAAGTATTATTTCTTTTGTACTTACAGTGATAAACATAATAAATTTGCTAAAACTTGTGAAAGCATTTGTACCTGGAACGGGTCTTGTAACTAATCCGACTTGTAAGCTTTTAGTTTGCATTTGACAAACATCTATAATTGCAACTGAATTAGGTCTTACAATTAAAGTTTAAGTCAACTCCAAAATTGTGCACTGGTTTTGGACTAACTCAAGATAACCCAAAATAGAAGAGTCCACCATCACTAGCTTCCAAGATCAGCTTAACCTGTCCATTTGTTCAATCCAGAATCAATAAACCATTTTGAAAAAACTACAACGCTAATCACAGAAATAAGCAAATCCATGCTTCCCCCATCAATTTGTCCATTTAGGACCAATGAACCATCATTTTCATTTGTTATAGGTTGTATTTTTTTCTGTTTAGTTATCTTAAACATCAACACAGACTTATGATCAATTCAAATCCTGGTTGGGGTCATTTTTGAGTTCTGGACCAAAATATTAGAGACATGCATCAGGTCTGTTCCAGTTCCCTATCACTAAGACAACATTCAAATTCCGCAAAATCCAAATGTGGACCTCAAATTGTCGAATGAAACCAAACATAGGTAAAATGAAATATCTGCACAGAGATCGGTATCCTATCAGCAAGTCACCTTTTATTTACTTGTGGCCAGTTAGCTTGGAGTCGGTCCCTGAAGTGAGGAGATTCTGAATCCCCTGTTTATATTGGTCAGCCAGGACTCCCTGATTG